GCAGGAAGAACAGGAGAAAAGTGGTAAGCAACCCTAGGGTTCATCATTATGATCACCACAGCATGGAGGATAGAATGTGAGATGTAGTCAATCAAGCAGTTGCCCATTATAGCATCCAAAAACATGGAAAGACAAACAGGACTTCCTTCTGGATAAGTCTACTTAAAGGAGATATACAGTAGTATTCAATATTATTCTGGTACACATATTTGCATCTGTAGTATGTTTGCAACCACGCCATAGTTTTATAACCTTCCAAAATCTGGAAATGTGTCTAAAAATGAGCTGTAATAGAGCAGGTGACTATAATCAGCATTTGATTTACTGGTAAGCAACTACCAGCCCACTATTAAGTAAAGCCCTAAAGCCCATTACTGGACATCTTTTACAAATATATATTTTAATATAAAAATAATATTATTTTTTAATATAATATATTGTTGGAGTAACAAACTTAACTAGTAATGTTCATTCTCAACTCTCGACGAAGGATCTTCCTGTTCTTGTATATGTTACATATTTGCCATCATCTCCTGAGTTGAAGTGCAGTTTTAATAAAGGGATTTGAGAGCAAAATATGGCCATTTAGCTGTACTTACTCCTCCTTTAAACTGTTACAATTTCCATAATGAGAGTGAGGATTTTTTACATGAGTCATGCTGGTCTGACTTTAGTCTGATTTCGATCTCACCAGTCAGTGCACGATTCTGCAGATATATTTACGTTTAAAACTTAAACCCACTTAACATAAAATAAAAAACAGAATAACGTAAAAAAAAAAAATCAAATATAAGCTGAAATACTAATCGGAATTTTAAAACGAATTAATTGGCTATTATGGAATTTAGCCTGAAACCCATGGAAAGTTCTGGTAAATGGTATGACAGGATCCAACATGGTAAACACGGTAGTCTTTATAAATAACTATAAATTTAATTAATGTTCAGTCCCTGTGAAGCTCATTCTCTGTCTACCACATACGGTCAGCTCCCTTTCGGTTATAACCGAAAGTGATAGAATTCACCGGCATTTCAGGAGGTACGCATACCTCCATAAACAATTGCATGACTTTATTTGATATGTATCTTGGGTAGGTACTAGCTGCAATATTAGCTATAACATTATATCATGAGCTTAACATGAGTTCGAGAAGTGCCGATTTCATGAATGATACCTCTCGTCTCATTGTAGCAGCACGAAATAATAATAATAATTCACCAGGCTAGGTGCTAGCAGACTGTCCCATCCCGAAAAGACATGCTGTTCGCAGGATTAAAGGAAGTTGCATCAGCAGTGAATACTGACCTGATCTTTGCTTGCCTTCTCCGACTTCAACAACCGGACAACTTCACCCTGAGCTTTAATGGCTTCTTGTATCTGAGCCTTTTCTTCCATTCTTGTTGAGTGAATGCCTATCTACCTAATTCTACTCCCCCACAAACCTGCGCTATCGCAGACAGCGCTATCGCAATGCTGTTGAGACGTCTGCTGTCAGTAAGCGGAAACGGAAATACGCCACACTTCCCTCCCCCTCCTGTTCTGCTTCATCCTGAATTGAATATGAAAAATTAAAAAAACAAACAAACAAAAAACAATATATTTTAACTTTCTTTTTATGTAAGATCTATGCAATAGTAACCTGACAATTAATTTATATATTTATCCCTATATAAAAACAAACAAACATATTCCCATCTTGAAATCAGACATCGGTAAAGACGACATCTGCTGCTTGTGAGAAGTATTCCCATCATAGTCAGTCATAAGCGCCCCAAGAGCGCTTGTAAGCCAAGACATTATGATGGAAAAATAAAAAAATAAAAACAAAAAGCAGAATTAAATTTTGCTGTAAACCAAGACATTATGATGGAAAAATAAAAAAATAAAAACTAAAAGCAGAATTAAATTTTGCTGTAAACCAAGACATTATGATGGAAAAATAAAAAAATAAAAACAAAAAGCAGAATTAAATTTTGCTTAGTCCCGTGAGGCCTAACTAACCAACAAAACTCCCTCCACTTTAAAATTAAATATAAACGATTTTATAAGGAAATTGGACAGTTAATCCGTCCTTTTGCCAAAACTGATATGAAGTGTTAAGGTTTTTGTCTAATTTGAACAGTGACATCTAGTGGCACTTTAAAAATAAAGCACCAATACAAAAGTCAGACCAAAGCACTAACCGAAAGATTGCTCATCACTGTCAATCCCAAACATCAGTTATTAGAAAAGTCAGTCAGAAGCTTTGACTTCTGCGTTTATTGTTAATGATGCAGTGACTTATATGCCTGCATGCAGTCTTAGTATGCTAAATAAAAACCCAGCCTGCCTAAATTATAAATGTGCTGTTCAATTTTTAGTGGGAGGTTATGCCAGAGGTGGCGCACTGTAGAAAAGGTGGTGATACCTAAAAGGAAAGAAGAATAATACAAGTTGTCTTGCAGCATCCTGATGGTTGTGTCCTTGAGTACCCAGTAGAACGGAACAATACACAATTGGCTCTCCTTTAATTTTAATGAACATAATACAGAATCTTTCTTACCATTGACCTTATGTTGTATATCCTATACAGACATATATTTTTTTTCTTTTATTTTATAAAATCAATTAACACGATTTTATGTAACCAGTCATTTGCGCTTACCAATCTGTGACAGAAATGTGTGTAACTACCAGAAAACATTCTGAACTAAAAGTTTTCCTTTCTGCAGATCCTGGTATGTGTTTTTCTGGATTACATCTTTAAGGCAACTGCTTAGATTTGATTGGCGTTAGTCTTCCCGTTGTCTGAAAGTAAAAAAAAGCGTTAGTCTTCCCGTTGTCTGAAAGTATGTGTTGAATAAACTTCAGATCACTCAACACTAGAATCAAAAATAAATCTTATTTATTGTGGATTTTTAAAATGAGTACCTTACTTGTTTGCATGTGTAATTATGGAATGATGAAAATAACATAAATATTGCTCAGTTTATTGACAGCTCAACCTTGACCGAGAAGACATGCCAAGAAAATGAAGCAGAGCTCTTTCTTCTGGTAATATCATTCAAAAAGGAAATTGTCTGAAACCAATTTGAAAATGCAGATAAAATCACCCACATCCTTCATAGAGGTCAGGAGTATCATCTCATTCCATGTACCCACCCCCCCTTAAAGACTCGTCCATTATTGCTTTAAACTCTCTTCCTCCTTCCTGAGCTCTGCAAAATTAAAAAAAAAATCAAGCAAGTGATGTGCCATGTGCTAAAATATTGAACTGCAGACTTTTGAGTATTCATTTGCTGTTGATCGTAAATGGTCAGCCTAAAAGGGGCTGGGTGGCTTAGTGGTTAAAGAAGCGGACTTAGGTCTGGAAGGCTTCAGGTTTGAGTCCACCAGCTGCCAGTTAGCACGGAGATGCTCTGAGTTTTACACTTCCCCCCGGGCAGCTTTATACCACTGAGATGCTCTGAGCATGACACTTCTCCCCGGGCAGCTTTAAGCTGCCCAATGTTCACTTTGGTGATGGGTTAAAGCTGAGGTCACATTTTGTTATGTCGGCAGTGGACAGGATGGACAGGTTGGCAAACTCATTCATCAAGAAGTTGCCAAGATGCCTCTTGGATGTAGGCCTCAAGGAGCGAAAAGTATGATACCTCTTATTCTTTAGCCAACACATAGGAATCACAATGTAAATGTGTCTACAACACAATCACAGTCTAGCTAATTGCCTTTGATGTCATGTGATGTAATAATGACACTATACATTATTGAAAAAAACAAACATTGTATTGTTGATAGTTGTTTTTGAAACTATGAAAAAGTCAAGTAAAGATATCACATAAAATATGCTACCTACACTCCATAGAAGATTTTTAGCATAACTCTACTAGTGTTTTTAAATAAAAAATGTTGTATTCTCATTAATGTCAAAATTTGACATTTTACAATGCCACCCAAGGGTAAAAAGAAGAAGGGTAAGGAAGTGATGTCAGTTGCAGAGCTCGACAAAATGCCTGCCGAGGCGATGTCAGAGAAACAACTGCAGAAGTACATCACTTACCTCAGAGACCAGCTGGACAAGGAGCGCAAGGAACGACCGGTCTTTCAACTGGACTGTGAGAAAATTCAGTCATTCCTTGAACTCTGCAGGCAGAATTTAGAGAACACAAAAGCAGAATTGTCCTGCACGGACGCTGCGAGTTGGGAGGCTGGCAAGCACCATCAAATGGAGGTAGGTGCATACAAAATGCATCTGAGGCACGAGCTGCACGAGCTGCACAACGCAATCTCCGATTTAAAGTCCGATCTCGCTGCCCATGCCTCGATCATCCAGAGCTACCACTCCAAGTCAGAGCTTGAGCTCTGGAGTTCGTTTCAAAGAATGCACACAGACCATAGACATGAGAAGCACATGAAAAATCTCAGTATTGAGGAGATAAATCTAAAACACTGGTTGGAGTTAAGGGGTCTGACGAGCGATTATGAGGAGAGAATCCGGGATGTAGAGTTTACCAACTGCAGGAGGTACCATCAAAATGTTATTTTGGGGGAGGAAAAGCATCAGGAACTAATGAATAACCTGGACAATAAATGGAAAAATCGGACAAGGGACCTGATGCAGAAACACAAGACAATCCTCAGAGATGCTGCAGAAACAATATTTTCACTGCAGACAGATGCACTTGTGCAAGAGAGGGCCTTTAAGAGGAAGGCAGCAGATATGCAGAAGTTGCTGTCGCAAGCGGACAAAGATTTCGTAGCGGCTCAGGACCACAACAGATGTCTGCACGAGTCTATGCAGGAGGCAGAGCAGAAGCAGAGTGAGCTTCAACAGCAAATGCAGTTTTACAACCAGGCCAGTGCGTGTCATGAAAAGAACAGAGCCCATATGAAGCACCTGGAAAGTGAGCTGAGGGATTTGGCTGTTAATCATGAGCTGGCGTTGCAGGAGTTTGAAAAGCTCGATAAGGAGTGCACCAAGATGCTAAAGGAGCACAGGGACATCATTTTTAACCTGCAGCAAGAAGGTGCTCTGAAACAGAAAATATTGCAGAAGAAACTGGTGCTACTGACACCAACTGAGTCAGGGAAAGAAGCGAAATTCAACATTGTCTCTTGCACCACTGATGAGAACATAGGTAGCAGTACCACAATAGGACATCAATGAAATACTGTTCCTGAAAACCAAGGTTTTTAACGTCTTTGACCTATAGCGTTTGTGGTTATGTTGCCATCTCTCATAAATTTGTGAAGGTATTGTTCCATTATTCCGACAATCTGACATCCATCCATCCATCCATCCATCCATCCATCCATCCATCCATCCATCCATCTATCTATCTTTTGTTTGTTGGGAACTTTTTGCCCTTCCTTATAGCTACAGAAAGTTAGACTCTTTTTTGTCCTAGATCAGGCGTGGGCAAACTTTTTGACTCATGGGACACAATTGTCCTAAAATTGAATTGAATGGGGCACAAGGCAATTGTCCTAAAATTGAACGGGGGGCTAAAGTTATCATTTTCTACACCATCTATTGGGGAAACATGGGTATTGCAGGGAAAAGGCAGACATATAATGATATAAATAAATTACATAATTTGGAAAAGTTTAGGGGTCGGATTAAAAAGATGAACGGGCGCTAAGCTTGCCCATGCCCGTCCTAGATTATGTTACCACTATGTTAGTGAATGTGAGTGTCATAGGTACTTTTACACAGGTACATGTACAGTATATAAGACTTGCGGCACTGTAGGAATTGAACTGCGATGTAAGTCGTGGACTCTTTTGCTTTTATAATAAAATCTATGATACTCTATTTTCCAATTTATTTTTAAAACTAGAACCATATAAAACTATACCAATATATTCAACTCCCCCCCAAATTACAGTGAACAAATTGTTTTTTAAGTCTAAAAAGGAATATGAAGCAACTTTGCACTTGATTTCTAAAATTAGCAATCATTTAGATATGTCCAACTCGAAGACCGCATACTAAATCTGGCCTGGCACATAATTTAATGAGGCCCACCAGAGCTTAACATATTTATGGTTTTCTTAAAATAATTATTGAGTTTATCTCTATACTGTGTTTGTAGTAGTCAAATTCCTTGGGTGTATAGCTTTTGCATCACAAATAATTCACAATTCCAATTCTCATCAAGTGTATGATTTTTGCCCATTTATGATAAACCACATCTCCCATAATCCACCTTGATTCCCTCACCTACCTTCTGACATTCTGGCAAACGGAAATATCAACAACATATCCTATGAAAAACACACATAACAAGCAGCATCGCCTTATCAACCCCCAAACTGGACTGCTATAGTTTTAAAAATGAGACAATCGTTTTTGTTAAGTCGATGACATATCCTACTTATACTTTGCTTGATTTTAATATTTGGGATAAAAATGTTGCAGTTTGTTCAAATTTAATACCTTTGGATATAGAGTAGTCAACACTAAAACTTCTCAATAAATGTTAATCCTGTTTGATGAAACAATGTCTGTCCGCCACTAAAGTAACGTTAAAGTTTCTGCTGTTGTGTTGTGTAAAAGTTGACTCTAATTTAACGCCTCATGATGCCTCCTAAACACTCTGATCATCTTCCCAGGTTTCTGTTACGAAGCCCAAATAAAGACCCTGACACACTGCGTCTTGGCCTGCGTCTCCGTCTTGGCCAGTAATCGCTCCTCTGTTCACTCTCCTCTCTCCTTGGTCCCGGCTCTTACTAACATAAGGAGAGGCTTGAAAAACATTGTGCTCACCGTCGTCCAGGGCTACACCTGCATCCTTGCTCTCCTTCCTGCAGCTTACATTGTTTTCCAATAATAATACAATGCAACAAAATGCAATGCATGCATGTTCTATGATATCAAAGTGATGTCTTTGTGGTCATGTGTGACCATGACAAAAGGTAACCTAGGGTTTCACAAAAACAACGAACAAGCAAAATAGCTTTTAGATTATTTAATTAATTCAACTGCAATAAAAGACGAAACCCTTGTTGATATTTGTTAGTGAAGTAATAAGTAAATAATAAGACAAACCCACTCAGAGGTCAATGGCCTACTTATAAGAGAGATAACAGAAAGACAGTTCATACAATTGAAAACAAATAACAACATGAAAATGAATAATAAATATATATTCATTTGAACACGTTTTAATAAGTTCTAACCTATGCATTAATTGGTCTGAAAAATATTGTTTTTATTCTGCATATAATTTGTTTTTGTTCTATGCAACAGTGCCAGAAAGAACAATTATTTACTCTTCCAATAGCTGACAGCAGATGGCTGTAAAAGCTAAAAAAAAAAGAGAGGCTCGGAGCTTGTTGTGTGCATTTTTCTTCAATTCCTGTGAGTATATCAGAGGTGTGTTCTACAAAACAGGCATAGGATTTCCATTGAGTAAGTACATTAAGAGTAGATTTAGACAAATTTCACATTTTTCTACATAAACATTTGTGTATGGGGTAAAATAGTGAAAATGTAAAATATGTGACTCAGAAAAGGTTGTGAAACAATGATGTAATAACAAGAGAAAAAATCTTCTACCAACCAGAACCCAATATTTCCTTGTGAAGGTCAAGACATCCAGCTTGACCTTCACAAGTTTGACTGATGGCCCAAAGCCATCGCCTGTCCGGTGCAGCTTAGGAAGGTGTGATCTTGACTTAAGTAGGTGGTGATGAACTCTGGGAATCTTCTCATCAAGACAACCTCTAGGAACATCTGTGCTGCTGTTTGCAGCCTCTGTTTATCCCTAAAGAAGATGGTCACACAGAGACACAAAACCTGAAACTGGGAGCCTGGGCAAATTTACCAGACAGGAGGTGAACATTTACTGTAAATGAATTTGACAATTTATTCAAGCAAATAAAAGTAATTATTACTTTTTAAAACCATTGGACGCAATTTAACATAGGTAATATTAGGATTGCAATAACTTATATACTACTTATTATTTACTCTTCCACTAGGTTACAACAGATGGCTGTAAGAGCTAAAAAAAGAGAGACTGTTAAATAAGATCTTTGTATGTGTCTTTCTTCAATTCCTGTGTGTATATCAGCGTTGCGTTAAACTAAACGAGTCCAGAATTCCCACTTAGTAAGTAAACTGAGAGTAAATTTAGACCAGTAAATCTTTATATTTGGGACATTTTTGTTTCGGGTTAGACTGTGGGATCTGTAAAATATGACTCAGTGATGTAAAATTCATTTTGAAAACGATTTCTAAGCAAATAAAAGTAATAGTACTTTAGAAAAATTGAGCAATAATTAAACAAAGATAATATTAGGATTGCAATACATACATA